CCCAGTACCCTGAGCTTTTACTTCTGTCTTTGACACATACTGAAATATTAACTTCATTCAGCTTATTCTGTCATGCAAAACCTTTGTGGCAAGCTCTGTTAAAGAGGACTATTCTTCCAGATTTACAAGTTCTTGGCATCACTTTGAAGTTACAATCAGGGCTTTGTGCGATACAGTAAATTGGATGAGATTGGCTCTTTTAACTTTAGAAGCAATAGAAGTGCCAGCTTGAATTTTCCTTTCACAAGGAATCCTTTTCTTCCAGTTTCCTGATAAGCTACTGAATTAACCAAGTACTCAAAAGTATCAAACAGCCGCAGTTAAAGCTCTGTGTCTGTCTCGGTCCGATCAGACTCGATCATGCTTCACTACCTTGGAACATGCCATGTCCCTTGCTCTTTTGTTTGCTATTTTTGCATAAATACTCACGGAAAAGAAAAGATAGATGGGAGCTAAACGCAGTGTGACGAGAAGCTTTAGGTCTTTATTATTTTTTTTTTAATTTTTTATTTTAAATAGAAGTAACACCAACAGACAAAAAAAATCAAAGAGAAAAAAAGCTATTTTTTTTTCTGCTGAAATACACTTTAAATAAATATGTAGATAAGAACCCAGTTCTTCAAATCTTCTTGAAGGTCTCCATCAGTGACGGTTGTGGATAACTAGTACCTATGGATGGCTTCACTCTCAAAAAAAAACGCACTCCACAACTCTCCCTGCCACATTACATACAGATGGGAACAACATCCAAACGGATGACCCTCTAAGTGCAACCTTCTGTCAGCTCACTCAGTAAATCTTCAGCCAGGCCTTTAAAACCGACACAACAATTTTGAAGGAAAGCCAGGACCTTGAAAGTCCACATTTTAGATTTGGCAGCAAGAGCAGGAGGCTGGCCTGACCTAAAGTAGCTGCTGTGGTAGAAATTCTGAGCAGATAATGAGGAAAAAAAATCCCTCTCGTGGAGGTGGTGCAGTGCTGAGGCCCCGGCAGGGCAAGGAAACTCCCTCCCTGGAGATTTTCCAAACGCAGGTGAAGAAGGGAAGCCCCAGCCAGCTACCTCATCCAGCTCTGGAGCCAGCCTATTGTGAGCCCCGGGGGGCTGGGCTGGAGGCCACCAGGTCCCTTCCAGTCTGCAGGACTCCAAGGCCACTGCCTGAGTGAGCGGGAAGGGGAGGGCTGCAGTGCCTTCTTGTGGTGAAAACGCCAACATGGTCTGCACCAGCCACCCTGACAAGGCTCACCCTCGAGGCGAGGGCAGCCTGGGGCCAGCGGAGCCAGGTTGCCCAAGCCAGCGATGGAGTTAGGTCTCCTGGAGAGGCTTGAAACTGGAGAGAAAAAGAAAGCTCTGTGGAGGAATGCAAGGATCATCCTCCAGCAGAGGAGACAGTGCGGACTAGGACATGAGAGAGAGCAGGGCCCGTCCAAGCAAAAAGAGTAGGGGGAGGCTCTATGGCAAGGCCGTGTGAAGGCAGACGCAGAAACAGAGTGAGAGGGATGAAGGAAGGATGCAAAGATGGAGGCAGGTCTGTGAGGAGCGGAGAATGAGTGGGCAGAGCGGAGTAATGCTGGGTCCCGAACGGCAGAAACCATGGCAGTACGTAGCACACGCAACATTTTTTGTCTAGTTTAGGGCTGCAAGAAGGGGTGAAGCAGGAGGTGAACTCTCTAACAAAGGACAGAGGTTGTGCTGGACTAAACTCAGGACAGGAGTGTTTCTCTAGAGGACACATCCTGCAGGAGAGGACAGAATAGCAACGCTCTGCAGCAGAAAGAAGGAACTGTGCAAAGAGTTCAGTCTTGAAAAAAGAGCATCACATACAGGAGGGCTTCACTGGGAAAACCCAAACTATAGATATATTGATAGGCCTGCAAGAATCCCATGCACACTGAGACAACACAGTCCAGGGAAGCAAGCACTGGTGGAAAATAATGTTGGCTGAACTCTGCCAACCAGCATGCATTGCCCAAACCTGGAGAAACATATATGAAGGGATAGCTTGTACCACTGGGTTTTATCATAGCAGGTACTTTTGAGTCTTACCTCCTAAAAAAAAAAAAAAAAAAAAGGTTGACCACCTTAGATTTAATTAAAGTGGCACAAATCCCCATATGGTTGCGAGCAACCTAAGCTAGGTTCTATGGACAAAGGTATCTAAGAAGGCAGAATTCATATTCCCATTTGAACATCTTTAAGTAACTGCATTTAAAATGAAACCTAAAATTACACATTTCACATTAGTGAAATTCTCTCTCACACACTAGCCTTTCTTTAGTAATTCGGTTATTTTCTTCTCTCTTACTCTGCTATTCCATCAGTCCCAAACATCCAAAAGCCTCATACAACAAGATCATAACTTCTTACTTTAAATACATATACCCATCTGAACTGTTTTACACCCACCAATTTATACCTTTACCTCAGTTCTGATTTATGTACTTTTTGTCACATTAGAATCACTTTTTTTCCTCTCCTCTCTCTCAGCCCACAGCATCCACTTATTAGCACACAGGGATGTGATTCAATCCAGATTGTCTGCTAAAAAAAAGCAGCACTTGACACACATTACCATCACTGAAGAATATAATTGTCCATTTTTTTCAGTTAGCAGAAACTTCCCCAGACTAGCCGTACAAAAATTTACCATCGGTTTCTAGAAACTATACAGTGCAGAGAACAAGATGTGATCAACTACAGTTTGCACTCAGACTACTGGGGAAAAAATAAGGAAATGCTCAGCAACATGAGTGCATTTCACATGTCTTTTGGTCTCAGCCCTTACGTATTCTTTGCGTTACAGTAGTGTCCAAATCCCACTGAAAGAACAGAGCTTCACTACACCAAGTAGCACAGAAGTGAGCATGACATGTGTTGGTTATCACAGGAACGTCTGGGTATATCTAAGGGATGTAACTTGGGAAGAAACTGAACTATCATAGCAATCTGGAATAAGGAAATTCGGGAAGAGTTGCTCTGTGTCTAGCTCCGCAGATCTACCCCTATGGACACATACTCCCTTGGCCACAGAGCTCTCCTGGAAACAACATTCCCTGTGGTTCAGGTCTCCAGCACATCCTGTCCTCCCACAGGGCTCGGGAAGATCCTCCCCTCCAGCTGGTAGTGACAGGAGTGCACAGTAGAGCAATCCTTCCTTTCCTACTGCCCACGGGTCTGCAGCTTCACAGCATCCTCTGCTGCCGAAGAGCAGAATCAGACATAGGAAAAACACTCACACCTTCAAGTGAGCATTACTGCTTTACACAGAACCCCATAAAATTATTCTCTAATGAAAAGAGCCAGGTATTGAAGCCCTGAGAACCGCCCGTTAGGTTGATCTGCTCTTGTGAACTGTGGAGGTAAAATGGCCCCAAAATGACGGGAACCTGCCATTTCCTGGAAAGATCCATGGCCAGGTACAAATCCCGCAGGGCTGGGGTTTGTAGGTAGCTCTTTATTTTTCTCAGCTAAACCCTGTTGTTGGCTCTCAGTCAACATCACTTTTAATAAATATCTCCACAAGTTTACTAAAACAAAACAAAAAAAAAATCTGCACTGGTAAATCACCTGCTTGCAAGGAAACTTTCCTAGCTCAGTTCAGCACAGCACCATTGCCCACTGTTGCACTGTCACTTATGTGTTTGTTTGAAAAAAGAAAAATGTGACTTTATTTGATCAGTGAAGTTTTTTGTCATGGTCCTAACTGGTTAGTTGTGCTGCCCACGACTGACATCTGACCGGTACTGTTGAACATTTGCCCCTGTATTAACCCATGCCCTGATCGCTCTGAATTCCCATTTTAGCGGGCACGTCAGCACCTTAATTTTAGAGAGTAAATATGTATATATAAAGTAATGTGCATAGAGGAACCATAAACGTAATCAGAGAGACACACGCACACACGGCGCCATGATGCCCCTGCCGCCGAGCGGGCGATCCCGGCGCCATC